AGTTGTAAATAAAACATGACATTCAATAAGTTTTATGTAATAATCTATATTAAATAAAAATTATACTACGTATTCTATTCTCTGAAATATATCAACCAACCAGTAGGGACATTGTATAAAGAAATCAATTGATATTGTGCAAATCCGCCCGTCCTTGCGGCGGCGTCGAAAACTATTCTTATTTTCCTTTTTTGTGGATGAGTCACTGCGAAGTGAGGAAGATACCACGTGCGTGGGGAAATGGAAATATGGTTCGCTTTCTCTGCGTAACCGTTAACGATGAGATTTTCAATTTGCTTCTCATATTCTTTTTTCAACTCGCTATTTTTATCGAGCTTCTTTTCGATATTAAACAGGCGACTTTCAACCTGCGCTCTATTCGACGGCATGCACTCATTATCTGTGCGCCATAACAAAGCAGTCTCGTACTTATTATTAGGTATACGACGTACCGTTTTGCTCAAAATATTTAAAGCTCGTTCTTCTGGGTCGTTCATGGGCTTTCGCGCAGACACTCCCAGAGATTCCAAACTAAAATAATCTTTGATCAACTTCTCCATGTCCTCCTCCTTCTTGGTGGAAATGTGGTTAACAATCTTGATTGGTTTAATGCCACCCGAAATGTGACCATGTAAAACCATTGGTAAATTTAACACATCTAATGTTAATCAATAATTAAGCCAAGAATTTTTAAACAATAAACATTTTAAAAATAACCGCTTTTTATTTTTGTAGCAGAAACTAACAATTAGCACAAGAAACATAAACAACTATTAATAACATTGTAGCACTTGTGCAATGTAATTGATGGTTGTATATAAAATAAAAATTGTAAAGTGCAAATAAAGGGCGAGCTTAAAGCACTTTTTATTTAGCGCTATCTGTTATTCAAAGCACGTATCAATAACGAAAATAAAATTCGAGTTGCACATCTATCTCTAGTATATACAAAGTAATCTATGAACTAGAAACTAGTTGCCGCTAGATATTAATACTTAATAGCGCCAAAGCACAATAGCGCCACGGCAACTACTTGCATAGCACGTGTTATGAAGAGATAGCGCGCTATAATATGGCGCTATGCGCTATATTAACCACCATTAGTACGGACTACGGACTCATGCGAATTGAATACTCAAAACATGCGATGGAGAGAGAGAGACAGATTCTTTCTATGCCGCGGTGAAAATGTATGCCTGCACCTGCTGTTTCGTTTAGGCGGCGCAGGGCGCTTGTGCGAATGTTCGTGTGTGATAATTAAAGCAATTCGTGCAAAATTATTCCCTAATCATTCCAAAATATTAAAAATGCACAACGTTGATATTCAAGTTTTCACTTCTGCTGGTACTCCCGGAGTGCAACCCGTCTTTTTTTACATTTTCTTACGTAGCAGCCGTTGTTGGCCGTTTATCAATTCAAATCTGAATCCCGCGGAAGGACCGTTGTCTGTCTCTAAACCACAACTACCGACATATCGATTACGACCGTATTGCCCGCTTAGAGCCGTGGTAGCTCAGATAGTTAATGCTCGCTGTAAATATAACAACGCGAGTAACCCGGGTTCGATCCCCGCCGGCACCAATGAAATCGTTAATTGCAATTTTAAGTGCTGATTTACCACGTACTCGACGGTGAAGGAAAACATCGTGAGGAAACCTGCATGTCTGGAGAATAAGAAAAAAAATATTTCGAAGACATGTGAAGTTCGCCAACACACATGGTGCAGCGCGGCGGACACTTCCTCGCCCTAAAACCCTCTCATAAATGAGGGGAGGCCTGTCTCCAGAAGTGGGACGTATATAGGCTGTAACTTGCTTTACTTTACCCGCTTTCCTCTCTGCTCGCAAGACACTCACTCGTTACACATTTATTTATTCATTAATTACAGTTTACAGCCCATCAAAAATCCACAGCTGTACATAGGTCTTTTCCATAGATTGCCTCATAGGGGCAATATTTGTCATAGTTCCCTCTTAGCAAATGGGTTGGCAACTGCTACATAACACTACACAAAACAATAAGTTTTGTGTTTTGGAAGATACTGTTGCCTACATCCTGTAATATCCATCTGTCGTCTTTTACGATACTATAATCTATATTATTTGTTAGGAGGTAGTGGTTTCTACTCCGCCGCTACACGGCATTATCAAGACCCCGCCTTAACTTCATGATTTCGAAATATTTTCATTCAAATAGATAAAGCTTTGTTGAATATAGTCGATGGCTTTCCGCTAAATCTATATAAATAAAAATCAATTGCCGCATGTATGAATGATCATCACTTGAGAACGGTTGGACCGATTTTGATAAACAGTGAAAACACCCACACTCAGTTGAACCCGGTACGTGTTGTCGAGATCTAGAAAACAGTCGGGCGAATCGTTAGTCGGCATATAAAATTTGGATTACAAATGGGATCCAACTCGCTTATGCTGTGGCACATGATCTTTATTTACTCCACATTCAATTAAAGAGCTAACCCATTTTTTTTAAAGGTTACCACCACAGTAGAATTTTCTCTTGTATGGTGAGGGTAATTTTTGGCAGTCCATCCGTCACAGCCTTTTAAAGTCCACTGCTGAACATAAGCCATCCCTTAGATTGCCTCAGCTTGGTGAGCGGGTAGTCAATCACAGTTTTTTAATATTTTGAGTTGTTATCGTTTGAAAGATGCCCATCACCCGTTTCAATTTTCCTTTTGTCACCCTTAAGAAACCCACGGTACGATATGGGGTAGTGGATTCTTAGACCGCCACTACATGGTTTACATACACGGGGGCAGTTTACATACTTACAAAAATTTCACAAAGGGAATATATTCAGACCCGTAACAGTTATTTGTAGGCTATACAAATACTTGTTCCGTGCAGGATTCGGTCCCGCGGCCCTTAGCGCTGCCACTCATTACTAAGCCACTACGTCACGGAGCCATTGGAAGATACTATTGAGGTTATTGAGCATAGTGCTTAGGTCATTCAGCGATTCTGCCTAAAGGAATATATCGTCGGCAAATCGAAGGTGAGTAATGTAATTGCCATTGATGTTAAAACCATATCCTTTCCAGTCCAGTAGCTTGAAAACTTCTTCCAAGGCAGCGTTGAAAAGTTTCGAGGATATAACGTTACTCTGTTTTGCACCTTTTTGCAGTTAATAGATTTCGTACTCGGGTTCTGTGATCAAATACTTTAGCACTTCTTAAATTAAACAAAAGGGTGACTTTCAATAAGTATTACTTAGATTCTATATTAAATAAATAAAAAATGTTTCTTCGATATATCGACACAGTGATCTTGCACAACTGAAGGTACTGTATAGCACCGCTCAAGTTTCGACAGAATCAAAGGCTTTCTCATAGTCCACACACACCAGACAAAGTGGCAGGACTTCAGTACAATTTGCTGAAGTGTATGTATGTGATCTATGGTACTAAAGCCTTTTCTGCAACCAGCTTGTTCGGGAGGCTGAAAGTTGGTGATTCTGCATGCAAGACGATTCATAATGATAATTGATAAAATCAGGCGATACTTTGCGAAAATCCATTATAACAAAGATATTAATAGTTATTTTGCAACCGTCCGATAAATTAAAGAAAATGATGTGTCTTCCCTGTTTGAAGAGCACCTCCCGCACTCCCTCAATTGCGTGCACTAATCCCGTCATCAATCCCAGCAACACCACTATTCTAGGAAATACGACACGTGTTTCGTAAGTAATCTAACTCAGTATTTTATGGAACTATTTGGTTGAGCAGTTGAGCACTGGCAAAAGCATTTAAATTTTTACAAAACTTTATCTCTTTCAGCAGAGGAATTGTGACTGCAAGCGATTTTTTTGACGTCTGTGATAACGTTTTTAACACAAAACTTTTAAAATTATTAATTTAGCTACAGCACTGTTTATTTATTCCTTTAGACTATTATTTTCCAAAAATTAGAGCAACTTCAATTTTTTATAATTTTTTGTTTTTTATGTTTGTGTGGATAGAAAAGGATCATATCTAAAGCCACGCTAAAATCACATTTTAAGGTATACAATTTCTTTTTGGGCTGATTCTACTTTATTCGTTGACCTTGGAAAGCTATTTATTTGACTCTGATTAAGTAAGTAAAACATAACATTTATAACATAAAAACTCACGCCTGTTACTCAGAGAGACTAAGTATTTCCATTTGACACGATCCTAACACGCCTATTTTACATCGATATACCTACGCATACATGCTTGTTGGTTAAGGGGAGTATCCTTAACAAACGAAAATGTATGCGTGCATGTATTAATTTGGACCATCTTCAATATATCGCCAATTGGATCGATGAACTAGTCTAGGGCGTAAGGTATGCCCGACTCTGCCGTTCAATCCTGCAACATAGATTTGGTTTGTCACTCTATCCTCGTTCATTCTTTCTACATAACCAAGTAATTGCAATTAAGCAAAAAATGTTTATTTTAATGATGAAGTTAAGTAAGCAAAAGAACTGACTTTATCATGAAAAAAACTACAACTTGCATTTTATGGTACTCAGATGCATCATAAACTAAAGGTAGAGACCGTGAAATCTATCATCGACAAAATAAATAAAAGTCAATAAAACTAATGCATAAAAAGTAAAATAACTGCCCTGCCATCGCATCACAAACATAAACTAACGGAAGGCTAATATTACTTACTTAGGTCAAAAAATTTTAAACCTCACATCTACTCCAAGAATGTTAATTATGTAATGTATGTAGTTTTTATTATTATTAGAAAACGGCAATTTTGTAGGAACTATTATAACGGATGTTGAACAATATTATATAGTACGTATGAGACTTATATTTTATCTTTGATTTTAATGGCCGACTGCACTGCACTCATTTTAGTAAGTCTTGACTTTATTAAACCAATTTATCGTCGCCTCGCCGTACGTTTTGCCCAGATGTACTTGGGTAAATAAGTGATAAAATTAATTAAAAATATACTATCTGACATAATAGACAATTTTAGGATCAGTCTTTATTATAAATTATCAAAAAAGTTATTTTTCACAACATATCGAATACATTGTAGAATTATGTTTCGTTCTTGTTCAATTTCCCTACTTAATAATTTTACAAGCAAAGTGGAAGGTAAATGATATTTTGGTTTTCTAATGACTTTTATATTAGAGCGATTGTTTATGACCCTTTTGTCTGTAGTTTTTAATTTAACGTGTTTACTTCCCTCTTCTTCAATATTATTTTCTTCAGTAGCTGTTTTCTTAATAACAATTTCTTCAGGTCCACTATCATTATCACTTTTATTATCAGTACTGTTTAACAACAGTGGTTTGTCATTAATTTTTTCCTGAGATTTTTCATGTTCATTGTAAAGTTGTTTTGAGTTAATGGAATCATCAGTAGATTTTTTGTGAATAATGTTATGATCTTGAGTAACTTCCTCATCAGATGATCCATAATTGCACATTAGGGAGGACAGAGCGCCACATACTAAGGGCTCCACCTGGGATGTAAAATCTGAAGCATTATTTGTTAGTTCATCATCTTCAATTAACAAGTCTTGTTGTAATTCATCATCTTCTATATTAATGATTTCATCCATAACTATCTGTTGTATTCCAGTAAATGGTTGAAGCTTACATTTTTCGGTTATTAACGGCATAACTTTACACACCCGTTTTGAAAGTGGTTTATGGCTTTGTTCATTTTTAAATTTATTATTTTGTCTAGGGCGAATTTTGTTGTTGCGATAATTACTTTTTCCTTTATTATATACATCTGAAAGCAAACATAATAAAATTATTTATTATTAGAAATCCGTTTAGAATCACAAAGCTTATATATATATATATATATATATATATTGTTTAAGTTTTAACAAGTAATTAAAATAAAAGAAAGTAATGTGCCAGCCTACTACGCTCACTACTGAAAAAAAAAACTCTCAATTGCCGATTTTGGAGCAGGGGAAATCCCACCTGTGTGTGGCGGGATTGTTGGGGCAAATTTGCATGTTTTCAAGATAAGGTGCGTTGGGGTAATATCGGACGATTTTCAACTAGTTAAAAGAGTCGGGCAAAAACTTTATTTTCTCGACATCCATATACGTCAGACTTCTGAAACATGGAGCAAATCGTTAACGGTTACAAGTAATTTAGCTATAAGAAGCTTTTACTTTTCAAAACTCAACAGTTTCTGCTTAAAACGTGTGCGAAGACAAGATATAATTTTTTTTATTTTGGCCATCAAGGGGAAGACTGACGTCGTTAAAAATCACAAATAAAAGTGAGGGAAAGACCGGACGGACGAAAAAAATACAAAAATTACCTTGTTTTATAAAATATTGCGCAGCACATGCCCAACTTTTCGGAGCGACTGGCTGAAACTTGGGGTCGGGGCAGAATAAAATGGAGTCTTGTACCACATTGCTAGCTTTCAAAAATATAGCATAATTCAACAGAAATTTGAATTTTACGGTCTTACCCCATCACCGATCTTACCCCAATGCACTATATATTATTTTGATGCAAAATATATTATTCACATGATATTATTTTCATTCGCTGCCAATATTTTTCATTATTTGCATTTATTAATATACATTGCGATGTCTATGAAATTTCAAAGTGACCCATCAGCTTATCCCCAGAGCTAATACAGCCCCTTATTCTTTATTCCTCTAGTAATTATTATTTTTATTAAATTCTAGCCGGTAGCCGGAAATATGATATATTATATGATAATACATTCATTGGAATTGAATGATATATTATGACTTTCAAATAAATTTGTCGGTGCGATACGCGCGCCACCTACTGTAATTTAATTGTACTGTGCTTATAACTTTTGTACAAGTGCAAGCAATAAGTTGACAAAGTTATATCGCAATATGATGAACGGTATGGCATCCCATAAAATATGATCAAACAAACATAAATTTTATATATTACATATTTTAAAGTTTTAAATGTTACTTTATGTCTCCATAAGTCTCCATGTTTATGTGTCCAATAGTAAGGTTACAATAAAATCTGATAATCATGGTGCACAAATATAAGTTATTGTAAATGGTCAAATTTATTTCTGGAAATTTTCCACAATGGTCAAAAAGATACATATGAGGGTGTTGTTTATCAATTTTCTAACACCATGGGAGTAAATTACAAGATTCTGCATGTGTTAGTTACTCCTTCTTTATACAACAGCTCTCTATTTATGTCAGTATTTTTTTACATAAATCTTAATTTTTGATTAATTTGCATTAAATATGAGGGACTATTAGGGTTGAGATGGTCTTGCTTGCAATATGGACTCCTACTCCTATGCATATTGCATAGGAGCAATATGCATACGAGTAGGAGTCCTTTCAAAGGTGCGGCGGTACTTTACGCCGCGATGGCTGCTCTCTATATAAAGCACAACACAGAACTTGCATGCAGTATTGCTGCCATATGTGAGTTGGTGCTGCAAAATGCCACCTAACAGGTATGCTAGGAGACTTATTGGTGACCCAAATCTGGTATTGTGCCTGTGTATCTGAATTAGAAGAATGTTCTGCATTTTAAAAAGAACAAGTTTATTGTTACTTGTTTAAAATTAAGACTAATTATTTTTGGATCTTTCCAACTTTGTTAAAATGTTTTGCTTTCCAACAGATTGTAGGTATCTGTTAAAGATTATTTCAATTTATTAATTATTTATCATTCAATAAGTAGGGGTGCTGTTTTTTGTTTGTACATAAGACCAAGAATACAATCTGCCACTTTGTCTTGCGTATGTGGACTATGAGACTTTGATCCCGTCAAAATTTAGGCAGTGCTGGAGTCGCTTCAGTGGTGCCAGGTCGACTGAAGATGTTTGTGCAGTAGGTCTACGATGGCTATCCGAGAGCAGAACCATTGTACAAAACCAATCCAACTGCAGAGAAATATAAGACAGGGTGATGTTATATCCCCGAAATACTTCACCTCCGCATTGGAAAACGTTTTCAAGCTACTGGATTATAAAGGATACGCTTTAACATCAATGGCGGGTATATTATATTACTCACCTTCAATTTATTGACCATATAGTCTCTATGGTAGAATCGCTGGAGGACCTAAGCACTACGCTGAATGATTTCAATAGTGTCTCCCATGCCACGCCATGTGTAACATCTTTGTCACGCCTACGCCGGTAGTTGTTGGGAGCACTATGCTCGAAGTTGTCGACGAGTATGTTTATCTAGGATAAATAGTCCGACTAGGTAAGTCCAACTACGACCAAGAGGTCAATCGACGGATTCAACTCGGCTGGGAAGCGATATTGGCAGATAGAGAAGACACATTTTCTTGTCAGGTATATCTCAAAACTTAAAAACAAGATTACACCAGTTCATGTTGCCAGTGATGACATATAGATCAGAGATCAATGAGCTATGTATAGGACTTTGCTGGGGGTTTCTCTGCATGAAAAACTTAGAATTGAGGATATCAGCAGTAGAACCAGAGTAACTGACATAGCCCAACGGATTAGTAAGCTAAAGTTGCAATGGGCCATTGTTCAAACTTGATACCTTTTACTGATATGACACTTAGATCACATGCCAATAAAAGTAAAAAAGAAGTTACACCTATATATGTCTTACTGGGTACATGCTTCCTCTAATTTCTAAGATGATTATAGAGCAATTAATAAACACTACACTAGTGCGCGTGGGCAGACTTCACATGTCTTCAAATTATATAATACCTCAGACATATAATATGTTTTCTTTTACCACTGAGCATGTGGTAAACCAGCCCTTACAATTGCAGTTTACAATTTTATTTTAAATAGGTGCTGGTGCTTGTTCCTTGTCAAATTTATGATGAGCTCTTAGCCCCTGAGCTACCACAGGTTTTAGTTATTGTTGCAATAAATTGTAATAATGCCTACTTAAAATTTCAGCTCCAATATTTTGATAATACTAATAATTGAACACAGTTGAAAACTATGTAGTCGGGATTGATAGGACATGGGAGTATGGAAACTCTTCCAACCGACTTCAAAAAAGGGGGAGGTTCTAAGAACTTTCTTCTAGGTGAATCCATTTTGATGATTTTTTTTATTTGAAATCTGGTGCTTCTTATGTGGTCTGACTAGTAGTTTTTGAGTTATCTTTAATAGTGCGTATTTATTTGACTATGATCACATGGATGACATTCTCATTTTATTAATATTGTAGTCGGTAGTACAAAATTTTTGATTTTACCACTTGTTAGGTTTATTAGTCTTTTAGAATCTTAATAACACCTCATATACTGTATATATAAAAACCCCCACAAAAGATTATCAGCCCCTATAACAAAGATGAAGCACAGATTATAGCATCATATCAGCATATTTTTATATGTGATAGAGCCACATGCAGCTATTATGGTTGTAGCATGAATGGGTCGGCTCGGCAGGGGAAGGACCACACTCTCACAGAATACCAGCGTAAAATAGCAGCTTAATGCTGCTGTTACATATGGTGAGTGTAGAGAACCTGAGACGGGTTTTACTGGAATCGAGGCATTCCATCTTAGCCAATCTAGAATGTAAATGTCAATTGGTCACAGCATCCACTTATCATCAGGTGGACTGTGTGCTCGTTCGTCACCCTTATCCTAAAAAAGAAATATAGGGATCTTAATAAATCATTGGCCTATTATTATATATATAACTTACTCCATCTTTCTTTAGCCAGAAGCAACATTTCAACAAAAAACAGGTCTGAATTTGTTCTTAATTTTTGCTATAATCGTAATTGATCTGATACACATACATATCATCATTAATTTCTTTGTGTATTAATTGTGTTATAAGCAATTCAAAAATAAATCAGAAAAACTAAAATAACACCACATATCTATAGTATGCTCAGAAGGATGGATGTTTACCCCAATGATAAATACAACTTAAGGAGATATTTTTAAAAATATTGTTAACCCACCTGATTTCTGTTGTTTATTAATTTCTCTTAATTTCATTAATCCCATTTTTTCACCTCTTTCTACCTTTTCTTTGATCTCTGCTGCCTTTTTTTCTTGATTTTGTTTTGTTGGATACTTTCGTTTTCTCTCTTCTCTCCATTTTTGAATCTCTTCGGGGTTATTTAACTTTGCAATTTTTTCATACAATCCTGTCGAATGTTGCATTTGAATATGTTTTGTGATAATTTTGGGGTGAGCAACAAATTGACAGCCATCAATGTTGCATTTCTGTAACATAGTAATGTTGTTTCTATAAATTCCAGAATAAGATTATTCCTTTGCAAAGAGGAACTGTTGTGTTACCATTAATTTTAATAGACTTCAAAAAAGAACGAGGATGTTAATTCCATTCTTTATTTTTGTATGTATGTCACTTAATATCTCCAACGATTGTGGTGTTATTTAATATGGTGATGATGACTTCACTAATGAAGTTTTTAATGAAACAATTTAAACAACATTAAGCCCCTATTTTATAATTCCTTAGTCTACTCGAAAGTACAACAAATAGCTTTTAATAAAAAAAAGTAAAATCATATTTCAAAGAACTAAAAACATTAAAAAACAATTCAAATTCTGACACCAGGCCTTCCATAGACTGTCTTAGCACTGGCTTATGAATGTGAAATCTTTTTTTAATTGTTTAATGTTCAATTTTACTTTTTATTAGGTTAAATTTTAATATACTATCTAGGATTGCCTAAAATTAATCTAAGGATCAAATTTATTATAAATAAAACAAATAATTGATAGAATCAGGCGTTACTTTGCGGAAATCCATTATAATAAAAAATAAAAATATAAATTTCTTCGCAACCTTCCGCTAAACAAATACAATGATGTGTCTTACCTGGATTGAAGAGCACCTCCCGCCCTCCCTCAATTGCATGCACTAACTCCGTCACCACTAGTCCCGGCACCAATACTCCAAACACCACTATTCCAGGCAAGACACACCATCGACGATAATACGAGACGTGTTTCGCCTCTACACGAAGGCATCTTCAGGTAATGTAGACTAGACTCTACGGCGGCTGACCGCTAAGTGAGCGGCGAGCTTTTTTTTTTGCGCCCAAAGCAAATATGGGCAACCCTCCGGAAAGCGGGGGAGGGAGGTTGGGAATGCTCTTAGCATAGGTGTTTAGTGGGAAAAAGTCTCCACATAACCACGCAGCCGGCTGCGTGGTTATGTGGTGACTTTTACCCACTAAACCCAACCTTTTAGGAACTGGCTTAACGATCTGACTAGAGATCTCTAAGCCGTATACGAACGCGACCCTCCTTGGCAGAAAGGAGGGCGCAATTCGGAGCGGCGAGTTTTTTTTTTTTGCGCCCGAAGCAAATATGGGCAACCCTCCGGAAAGCGGGGGAGGGAGGTTGGGAATGCTCATAGCATACCACGCAGCCGGCTGCGTGGTTATGTGGTGACTTTTACCCACTAAACCCAACCTTTTAGGAATTGGCTTAACGATCTGACTAGAGATCTCTAAGCCGTATACGAACGCGACCCTCCTTGGCAGAAAGGAGGGCGCAGAGCGGCGAGCCGAAACAGCTGCTATTTATACACGCCGACACAATCGCTCCCCACGCGCCCTCTATGCTATGTATGCTATGAGCATTCACCGCCTCCTTCCCCCGCCTTCCGGAGGGTTGCCCATATTTGCTTCGGGCGCAAAAAAAAAAAAAATCGCTCCCCACCAAAGTAGCGAGTGACCGCGCCGTACGATAACAAACCTGCTACTAATTATCATTATTGTTATGAATAATAGTATTTAAAAATATTAAGTATATAAAAAAAATTAAGACACATCATTGTATTTGTTTAGCGGAAGGTTGCGACGAAATTTATATTTTTATTTTTTATAAAACAAATAGTTCACTTGGGTCTGTCCAATAAGTACGGGCCACATAAAATGTGAATAAGGTCCCAACTAGGTCGTACTTGGATGTTGGATGTGTACACATGTACTGTTTGGGAGTCGCAAATAATAATTAAAAATAGTTAAATATATCTAATTAGTTACTGTTTAATAATGAGGATGTGACACAGGTCACATACCGAGCATGCCAGCGATAGCACCAACAAACATACTGCTGAATGTCCCTCAAAGGCGACAGATTGTAGTAAATAAAGGATACACATAAAAATATATATATCTAATGTAATAGTTTCTAATGCTGTTTTCATTAAGAATTTTTATTGCATAAATATCTAGGCTTTTATGATAATTTAGTTTAAAGGTTTGCTATTTAATGCATTGAAATTAGAGATGGGCACATCGACTTCCAGCTTTACCGAATATTCGTATTCGGCCGAATATTCGGCTAAATCACCGAACATTCGTTAAAGTGGTACTCATAGTGTCCACTGTATTGAAATGTAGGTATGAATTGAGTAATGCCATGTCTTTTACTGTTGGAAGTATATTCTATTTATGGGTTAAATGTTAAATCTGCTTGTATAGTTTTATGTTTTTGAGGCAATGTAATCTACATTTATTATTATTTTCAATTATAGCAAATAAAAAGCTTGATAAAATGTTTTTGGAATCAAACAAAAAACATTACATAACATACACAACAGTACATTCCGCTTTACTTTGGTCGTCAGCTTCTCTAATATAAGTCCAAATAGTAGATATCCTGCCACTCATTTTTATCATATAATTATCAATTTTCACTAAGAATAACACAACCAAATACTTTTTTCTCACAAAAATAGTCAAAACGTAAGCCGGCAATTTCTTCATAACTAATGATGAGCGAGGGGCAAGGTCCAGCGGAAATGTCGCGCGCTTTACGTACACAAGTTTCGACATAAAATGGTTAGGTACAGAGATGATGCTGCCAAATAAAGTTCGGCCCAATATTCGGTTCGGTAAAAGTTTTACCGAACATTCGGCCGAATATTCATATTCACTGAAATCCATATTCGGCCCATCCCTAATTGAAATACTGGAGCTGATTTTTATTAAGATTACAGTAGAATACCTCAAGAACTTTAATTTAAATGGAAATACAAAAAAAATTGAGTAAGTAATAAGTTTTAACTTAACAAGAATTTCGAGATTTTTTTCCAAAAATAAACACATAAGACCTCATTATATTTCACTAACTTTGACAAATAATTTGAGATACCACATATTTAGGGGTTCAAAGGAAGGGAATGGAATTTTTTTTTATCTTACTAAGGATTATGATTTATCAAGGTTCAAGTTATCGAGACTCAACAGTATTTCATTAAGAAATATTGATAGTAAATTGGCAGATATCTTTAATAACTATGAATTGATATAAATCTTTTAGTAGGTACCATTATTCACTGAGAGTTTTTTTTATATGGCATTGTCATATCATTATCAAGTATTCCATGAAACTTAAAAATGAGAGTGCATAACCAGTGCATGTCGCTAGTGATGACATATGGATCTGGGACATGTTTATACACTGCTGGTCATTTGAGGAAGCTTAAGGTCAGTAACCTATCTATGAAGAGCACTATGGTCGGTCTTTCACTAAGTGATAGAATTCATAATGAAGATATATGCAATACAACGAAAAAGACTATGAACTACCTATAAAGACTGTGCTCACGACTTGTACTGCTACATATATTAGAAAATTGCCTAAAGCTACTTTTTTGTAAGGTACTATTTGCAGAGCATGGCAATTAGTAGTTTTGAAGAAAATTCTAATAGATTTCTATAATTTTACATTGTAAATAAGCTCTATTTTGTCATTATAGATTTTTTTTTGAGTTTATAAGACCATTTTTTGTTTGAGATATTTTTATAAGACCTTTTAAATATAAATAAATGAAACCTGATTGTTTCGAAACAATTCTTATGCAAAAATTCTATTGAGAGTGAACTGTTTAAATCCATCTGTATTAAACTACTCAAAACAAAATAGGGCCCACCATGTTTTATAAATGAATTTTACAGATTCTTTTTTCAGTTTTTATGATTTGGAATGAATAAATTATGGTTTTTGAAAGTGTGTGAACATTAACAAGAGTAAGTTTTGCCAATTTTATGGAATTTAGTCAACATTTACAGTTTTTAGGAAAGTTTACAGGAATTACTGTTTTAAGTAAAGTTTGATTTTGATTTTTATTATTGACTAAATCAATGAGATGATGGTGCTTAATAGCGAATAGGTTTTCCTCTGTACCGTATGCACTCCTAATATTGGCTTCAGAGAAAGCTCTCTGGGCTGTTCACGCTGTATGTGGGCGAGCATTGTCTTGCATAAAGATGAAGTTTTCTTTCACTCTTTGTGAAAATAGGATGACATGGGGCCGAATTATTCGATCAACATACCGGGACGCAGTTATGGAGCCCTCTTCCAGAATTACCAGCTTAGTTTTACCAAGCAAGCTTATTCCAGCCCACACCATAACATTTGGACCTCCAAAATGATCCGTTTTATATATGCATTGTTCTGAAAAACATTCTCCTTCTCTTCTCCACACGCACACTCGACGATCATCGCTGAAAAACTTCACTTTACTTTTGTCCGTAAAGAGTACACATCTCCAGTTGTCAATTGAACACTCTGCATGCTCACGAGCAAACCTCAAACGTGCTGCACGATGCACTCTTGTCAATTTTAGACAAATAATACGAGATCTGGAACATTGTCCGTCTTCATGGAGCCGATTTTGAATGGTTTGATCACTAATTCGTGTGCCAGTCGATTGCCGCCGTCAATTTTGTAAGACGCGGGCGGGAGTCGTACGCTCTCAACGTACAGTCAACCTGATATACCGGTCTTCCTGGACGGTTGTAGCTTGCGCTTTTTCTGATCCAGATCTCCTCGCAACTCTACCTGTCTCTAGAAAGCGTTCCCACACGTTTCGAATAGCTCGTCGCGACACACCAAGACGTCTTGCCTCTGATCTCTGAGATTCTCCCTCCTGAAGCATAAACACTGCTCTTGTTGTTGTTTCCACATCCATATGACGCCGAGAACCAGGCATAATGATCACGAGTAACACCGAAATCAAGTTAAAATGAAAAAAGTTGACATGCGACTGTAACATTCAGAATGTGACTGAGGATAAAAGTGACTGAGAATTAGAGTAATAAATGTTTTTTGGAGTACTTCATTTTTTTTGTCTATCCACCATTGAAAGTTCGTCAGGAAGACTTGAAACATTGACAATGTTAGTTAAACATGTCAACAATACTTCGAAATGTTTAACTTCACTAATCTACTACCCAACAAATTTTTTTAGACAACATTCGAGATTAACTTAGAGTGGGCCCTATTTTGTTTTGAGTAGTTTATTATATATTATCTCTTATATATCTCACTCTAATATAACATTTGCAATCTTTAAGAAAAGTAACCCATGCATTATAACCAGGAGGATTTCTCTTTGTTAGCCCGAGCTTATGTGAATACAACATACTAAACAACATCCCAATTGAGACAGACAATTTGTTTATGATATTGCATGATTTTTCTTACACCCTGGACTAAAGGAAATGTCACTATAAGTACAATGAACTCTTTTATGTCAACTGTAAAATAACAAGATCGGCGATTGAGATATAATAGTAAAAGATGAAATACATTTATTATCATGTTCAGCTTTGGACTTGTAGTGATGTATTACTGACGATAATGATGTTTCATGAGTATTAGATTTAGAGTGACAATACTTCGCTATCAGATAATTACTAATTAACAATGTTGATTAATGTGGGATTAGAAACTAATGCTGGTTTACCTCATGTTGTAATTTGTGGTTATTTAATAGTTGCAATGTTTGGAAACCTTTATCACAAGTTTCACACCAAAACTGGTAATTAATTTGTGGGTTTGACGACACTGGAGGCCAAAAGCGATTAACAACAGCATTACGTCGTAAAAACTGTCCTCGTGGATTAAAATGTTGAGGCCAGTGTCTAGTTCGCTGATTTGGATATATCTCAGGTCTAAACATTTTGATCTTGACAATAAATCTATCAGAAACAAAAAAGCAGGTGATTTCGTATAATCGTTCAACAGTAGTATGACGATAATATATAATATTATTAATTTAATTTTTAATAGAATCTTCCATATCGATTGTTGCCATAAACCTCAAACACAAACTAACCTAAAACTAGGGATGTTCGATGATCATCGATGTTAGAAATTGAAACATCGATGTTTTAACATCGATGTTACTACAAGTTAAACATCGAAACATCGATGTTACCACACGTTAAACATCGAAACATCGATGTTGCCACATGTCAAACATCGATGTCAATGAACCAATAATCGATTAATAAGAACTTGTGAACAATGAGAACCCACGAAATCAATATCACCTAAATATTTCATCTCCTATTAAACGTTTAAAATTTTGAATAATTAAGGATTCCTAAATGCATCGATCACCTAAAAAATATCATGTTGTGTCAAACTCCCCGTCGAGTGTGAATTGTAATGTCACTGTTGTAACTGCTTTCGCTTTGTTATTATGGTGTCGTGGTCTATCAAATCTAATGTAATGGTTGATAGACCATAAATCCTCGCGAAAGAACATCGATTCCTACCAAGGATGATACGTGAGGCTATTGAAATTAAAAAACATCCTAATTTCAATAGAGAAGGAGGCTGGGTACTACCACCTGCTTGGGATCCTATAATTAATAAAATTAAAACTAAACCCAAGCATACCACTGCAAGACTTCAAAATACAGTTAGTTCATTCTGCGTAGATCGGACCAAAGACAATAATTAAAAAGCTGAAGGTACTCCGGGTTAACTTTGACATCGGGACGTCAGTCACCTCAGTCCCCCGTGACCATGGGTGCTGGAAAGCACCCGAAACGTCGGGTATTAAAATTAATATAAATAAAACGCGTGTTCGCGTAAATATAAGAAATCATTATGTATAGGAATATTTAAATATCAAAATAATAATATTCATCATTATCGGCAAAAAATATAACAAATTAACTAAATATTTGTTAAATTTTTCCCATTTTTTAAATTACTGTTTCACACTGAATATATTATTAATTTCTTTAATTTCATAAATAATAAACCATAAACAACACCACACATTTTTTGTACGTCTAATTTTAACCTACTAAATAGGTACACGTGCTATAACATCGATGTTTTGAGTAGGATAAACATCGAACATCGATGTTAAGCTATCGATATCAACATCGATATCATCATCGATGTTTCTGTAACATCGAGCATCCCTAGCTCAAACACAGAGTCAATAGATTACTGACTATGTACACAAAGTTATAGATTACTTTTTTTTATATGTATATACCACTGCAAGACTTCAAAATACAGTTAGTTCATTCTGCGTAGATCGGACCAAAGACAATAATTAAAAAGCTGAAGGTACTCCGGGTTAACTTTGACATCGGGACGTCAGTCACCTCAGTCCCCCGTGACCATGGGTGCTGGAAAGCACCCAAAACGTCGGGTATTAAAATTAATATAAATAAAACGCGATAAAATCCGTAAAAGTAGTTTTAATCAATGTATAGTGTTCGCGTAAATATAAGAAATCATTATGTATGGGAACATTTAAATATCAAAATAATAATATTCATCATTATCGGTAAAAAATATAACAAATTAACTAAATATTTGTTAAATTTTTCCCATTTTTTAAATTACTTTTTCACACTGAATATGTTATTAATTTCTTTAATTTCATAAATAATAAACCATAAACAACACCACAAATTTTTTGTACGTCTAATTTTAACATACTAAATAGATACATGTGCTATAACATCGATAATGGCCAACATCGATGTTTTGAGTAGGATAAACATCGAACATCGATGTTAAGCTATCGATATCAACATCGATGTCATCATCGATGTTTCTGTAACATCGAGCATCCCTAGCTCAAACACATAGTCAATAGATTACTGACTATGTACACAAAGTTATAGATTACTTTTTTTTGGAGTTTATGGCCTGGTATCTAGACCTTTAGGCCAAGTCTTGAGTATTTTTATTCGGTTTATTTATAATTTCCCCACTGCATTTTTGATAAATTTATATAGAGGCACGTAATAGGATCTATTTTTTAACATATCACTCAGGCGGCGAGAGGGATCTTGCACTGTCACTTGATTGTGCACTATGTCACTAATTTCACTGACAAGAATCAATCTGTCAAATGAAAAGCACTCACATCTCACATATAAATATGAAATGTTCGATATCACCAACAGAATTATTGCAATAGGTGCAGTAGCTGCTCTTGGTGCCTGTGATTTGCTATGCAAGGGCGAAGGGGCTGCACATCCCGCAGGGCCGAAGCCGTTGCAGAAGTAACTGCGTCAATATTCCTCTATAAAAAGCTCTAATGTATAAACGCTTGCTTGTATAAATGCTGTATAAATGCTCACCTCCGTAGCTTCGGCTTATTGGTCGCCTTCGGCGACCAGCCTCAGCCGCTATGGCTCGCTTAGGCGCCTTTGATTTGCTACGCAAGGGTGAAGGGGCTGCACTTCCCGCAGTGCCGAAGCCGTTGCAGAAGTAACTGCGTCAATATTCCTGTATAAAAAGTGAGGTAATGATTTTACAAAAAAGGAGGGGTTTTAGGCACTTAACTCTTTTAGGGGTAGGTTCATAACCCTCCCCCCTCTACCCACCCACTTGGCGATCATAATTTAGTGCGGCAGATTACTAAAGAAATACCACCGAAACGCAGTCTGTTTATAGTCGTAATAAAGTCCCGACTGGCCATTTTCAGTTTGTTATACCATGGTGTTACAGGCAGATTTGCTTGAACATTTCCATACCATTTACCCTTCTGTTCTTGATATTGTTTCCAAAATTCGACCCATAAGCTATTGACCTGGTTGTGAATAGATTGATAACAGTCGGTCAAAGGTACTTTTACTATGGAGCTAATATCCAACATGTTGGTTATATCACATGCAATTTTATCTGCTATCTCATTTCCTGTTATGTCCCTACGTGATGAAATCCATATGAAAGAGATCTGTATACCCTTTTGTGCATAACTAAATAACAATTTTTTAATATTATACAAAATATAGTTTTTTTTTAAAGTCAAATCTGAGATTGGTTAAACTTTGGACCATACTTAAACTGTCTGTTAAAATTAAAAAATTATTAAAACTATTTATATGTGCGATCCTCTTCAGGGCCTCAAGGGCCGCATATACTTCTGCAGTGAAAACACTGCATTTAGGATCCAAAAGAAAACTTTTACCAATCTTGGATTGAGGATCACAAACAGTACTACGCACAAAGAGCTCACTTTTGCTACCGTCTGTATACAAGGTATAGTAGTTATTATCGGAAAGAAAACTTAATAATTCACAGTTATTAAAAAAAAATTTAGTAACAATATTGGTATCAAATATAATACAGGAATATGAGTAAGAGTAGCATGTCCACTTTGATTGTTAAATCTTCATTCATTTGTAGTACAATGAGAGGCAAAACTGGGAAATAACCTCGTAAAAGCCCACCTCCCGAAGTCTTCTGGGTCGAGGATTGTACAGGAAAAGGTTTTAGTAAGTATCTCTCTATTAGTAGACGTCTTCTGAGACACAGTGGCATTATTTAGGTTTCAACTTCCATAGCTCGTATGGGAGTTGAACACATAGCCCCAGTAATAATTCACAGAGCTTCGTTTTGAATTATGTCTAGTTTTTTACAAAACTACTATTTGTGTAGGCTAAACAACTGTAGCGGAAGTGGCTTCTGACTATAGATTTATATTATAGCATACTTAAAACTTTGGGGTTTGCACCCCAAGTCACACTAGCTAAACATCTTATAATATTTAACCCTTGATAGAGTTAGTTATAATGTGATTGATGTGTAAATCAAAACAAAGTTTGTTATCAATGACAACACCCAAGAATTTATGGTTAGGTACAACTGAAATTGGATGATTATTGTAGAGTAAGCCATTAAAGGGGAAATCTTTACTAAAAATCATGGCCTTGCTTTTGTTGGGTTTAATCTGTAGAGCCAACCTGTCATATATAATATATGTACAATTGATCTAAAGCATTATTTATATTATTTACAGCTCTATCTACATTATGGTCTGTACAATATATTACAAGATCATCCAGCAAATTGTAGAATATTTACACCCTCTATATTTATGAAATTAAGAATTTGACTAGTATATTGTACAGCAATGAAGATAATGTAGCCCCCTGCATTGTACCTTTGGAGACCTTTCTGGGACTATGCAGAATATTATTATGTCTTATGTACAAAGTTTTATCTGTTAAAAAATTATCAACATTATCAAATGCACCTTGAACATCCAGAAAAACACAAACACTGGACTTATTATTATTATTGGCATATTTCAGATCTGACAAGAGAGAGATGAAGCTGTCAGCACAACTTCGCCCTCTCCGGAAGCCATATTGAACACGTGGAATGATGTTGTTCGCCTCTACATAATACTCAAGACGCACCGGGCAAGTTCCAGCCTGCAGATATTAAAATTTCAAAATAAAAAAATCTCATTTTATAGATCTCTATAAGCCCTTTCAACCTACGTTAATTAATTTATAAGCCCTTTTTCGTTTTTCCAGGAAAAATAGAAATATAATTTTCAATTTTCCTCTATTTAAAATAGCCATATCTCTTTGAAAAATGATTATTTTTTACTCTACCAAGCGTGAAAAAATTGCCCTTGCGATAATTTAATTTGTCCGCGTGCTAATTCTTAAAAATATTCAATAATTATTATTGTAAACAATAAAAAACCGTCGTGGCATTTCCAAGCCAATTATCTTCGCTTCAATTATCTTATGAGTTTCACTTTTATTCTGTTGCGCATGCGTAATGCGAAGATAATTGGCTTGGAAATGCCACGAAGGTTTTTTATGGTTTACAATAATAATTATTGAATATTTTTAAGAATTAGCACGCGGGCAAATTAAATTAGCGCAAGGGCAATTTTTT